AGGTAATTTTTAAAAAGGAAAAAAAACCGAAAAATTTTTTTTTTTTTTTTTTTTTTAATTTTTTTTTTTTTTTTTTTTTTGGTTTTTGTAAATCAGATTTTATTTAACTTTCTCTGTCTGTGTCTGTGTGTGTGTGTGTGATCATTGTTTCGTATCATTCATAGTTTTGGTTCCATGGTAAATATTATTTTTCTTCATTTTCCTTTTCGCCATCATTAAAAATTATAAGAAGAAAAAGAAGAAGAAGGAAAAAAGTCATCTGATTTGATTTGTTTGTTTTGGTTTGGTTGGTTTGTTTTTTTTTCTTAACACAAATCTCTCTCTCACTACATCAATGTCATTGAGGATTTCCGTTTGTTTTTCTTAACTTCTTTTCACTCTTGAATTATGTAAAAATGAAGAAAAATGATCAGGAAAACAAAAGGTCACGATGATGATGATGATGATGATGATAATATCGATCATCTTTGATGATCATCATTACATTTCACACACTATCAATCAATCAATCAATCAATCATTGATTGATCAATATTGAACTATATTTTCGACAAATGATGATGATGATAATTAATTGATAATGATAATGGTTTTTAATAATACAGATGTGAAAATTGATAATTAATACAGGTAAAATGACTGAGAATGAGGAAACCAGGAACAACAAAAAAATCAAACATATTGATTGTAATCATGAAATCATTTTTCATTTCATTTATAAAAAAAGGTTACATGTTTCTCAAACCGAAACGAAAATGATCCGAATACTTGACAACAACAACAACTTAAGTGTTAATTTTGTTCAATTCGGCACAGTTTATTTATTTCAGTTGACCATTGTATTCGGTCAGTTGGTTAAATATCAAAAAAAAAAACTGAAATTGAAACCGGAAAAAAAAATTTTTTGCAAATTAATTTTCAAGTTGTAATTTGTAAATGTAAATTATGATATATCGTTGACATTTAAATTGATTGGTTGGTCGGTTGGTCGGTGTATGCGAATGACAGTTCAAAAAACATTGATCATCATTATTATCAAGGAACGAACAGTAAATGTAAAACCAGAAATCAAAAACAAAAAAAAATGATATTGAATTTTGGCCGGCAGGGAAATGTTCAAATGTTCAATGTCAAAATTGTTTTTTCATTTCATTTTATTGTAGGCGAATCCGGTGTTAATGATGATTAATAAGGAAAAAAAGGGGGATAATCAATCTATTTATTGATTTGTGAGAGTTTTTTTCAAGCTTTTTAAAAAAATTGAAAAAATTTGAAATTTATGAATTTTAGGTCATGACACACCGGGTATGCCTCATTTGATTTATTTTTTTTGCAAAAAAAAAAATTGATAATTCAAATGACACTAATTACCCGAAAAATTAATTAAAAATTTGCTACTAAAAATTGTCAAACTAACAACAAGCATTCAATCATTCATTCATTTTTCTCTCTTTTTTTCCAATGTTTTTCCTTTCAATGTTTCAAAACTTTTTTTTTTTTTTTGTTTCATTTGCCTTGGGCAACCAACCTATATAAATGCATTGTTTTCATAATTTTTGTTACAAAAACAAAACAAAACAAAAATTGTATCCATATTTGATTTGTGCAACGAAAAAAATTTTTGTTACATAAGTGTTAAACACAAACATAGTGTTGAAACAAAAAAAAACCGCAACAATAATAAAAACCGCTGATCATTACTATTAATAATGTCTTCATTCAAAATCTTTTCAACATTTTCGGCAATAATTTTAATTACCGTTATGATTATTGGTCATCATCAACCGGCACAGGCATCCAAACGAAAAGGTGATATTATTATATTGGGTTTTGGAGGTGGTGGCGGAGGTGGCTATGGTGGCTACGGCGGTGGTGGTGGTCATGGTTTTCCAAGTATCATACGTACTGGTGGTAAAAAAATGGGAGATTTTATTCTACTTGGTCGACGACGTAGACGTTCGATTCCGGTTAATGATGATGATGAACAACAATACCAACAACAACAACAAATGGCTGTTAATTCGGAAAATTTAATTTAAAAAACATCCAAAAAAAATATCAAATTTTAAATTATTTTTACAAATTTTTATTTATTCATTTTTTATACCTCATTATAATTATAAAAAAACCATCATACACAAATTCAGATTATAAAACGTTTCATTTTTAATACATTTTACATAATCAAATATCAAAAATCATTAAAAATTGAATTTTTTTTTATATAAAAAAAGTTGATTCGGATTAATTTCGTCGTTTACGATGATGTCCATTTTCCGGGCTACGAGATCTTGATTTTCGACGACGATGGTGATAATCATCTTTATCATCATCACGACGATCTTTATTAAGACGATCATTATTGCTATACTTGCTGGATGATGAATGTTGATTTTTTGAATATTGTTTTTGATTATGATGTTTATCAATATCTGAATGACGAGATTTTTTATCCAGATTTCTTTTCCTATCATCATCGGATTCTGAAGATGATGATGATGATGATGAATCCGAAGAATCTTTTGATTTGCGAACTTTTTTCGATTTTTTCTTTCTGGATGAACTTTCTTTTTTATGCTTTTTTTTATGTTTTTTATCAGTTTTATGTTTTGATGATGATGATGATGATGATTTGTTCAATGATTGTAATTTTTTTAGCAATATTTTTTTCTGTTTCGATGATAATGATTCTAAAAATGATTGTTCAGGATTCTGTACAGCTGCATTCAACAACAACATTTGATGATGATCATTATTTTTCATTGATTCTGGTCCATAATTTCCATAAAGTGATTTTTTCAATGCTAAACCTTGATCTTCTTTCATTGATTCAATCAATTCATTTGGTTCTATTTTGACTGGGGGTTTATCACCACTGTTTGATGTTTTCGTTGCTGCTGCTGATGATGATGATTTATTCGTATCTGTTGATGGATTACCAGCCGGTAATGATGTTGTATTGAATAATGGACATTCACGATCAGTGTTTACATGGCCCCATTTATGACATTTTAAACATCGAACATTTCGAACCTGTATACCGAATGGTTGATCACGAATATCCATATTGTTTTTAGCAAAACTTTCTCTTGGTGCATTACGTTGCCATTCAAATTTATATTGTGGTTCATCTTCAGTTTCCATTTCTTTTGAATTTTCTTTTCGAACACCCGGTGGTGCTTCATACATAAAATTTAATGATAATTTATCTTTTGAATCTGAACCGGCAACCAATAAACGATTATTATATAAATCTTGTTCTTTTTCATATTGTAAACGCATTTCATCTTCTTTCTTTTTTGAATCAATCGATCTTTGTTCAGCCATCCAAACACGTTTAATATTTTCTTTTGATGCAGGATGAAATGGTTTTTTACTCATAAAATTATTATAACCTTTACCCATGATTGATTGATTACTATATCGTATCTTCGTAGAAACAAAAATCTAATTTTCAAATATTAATAAATTTCAAACTAAATTTTTTTTCAAAAAAAAAACAAAACTTACGAATAAAATTGAAAAATTGATCGAAGAAAATTTCGCAAATTAATAAATTCACTCGTCAAAAATCATAAACAACAAAAACCCGTTCATAAACAACGTATATCATTAACATCATGTAAAAATTGATAAATATGATCGGGATGTATACAATATATAAATCGAAAATACATTATCAAAAAAATAAAAATTTCCATGTTGTAGGGGCATAAAAAGAATCCAAATATTTTTTTTTAAAGATTAGGTATTATATAGAGATTGATTCGGTAATATTTTTTTGTTCAGCTATATTGTTGTTGTTGTTGATATATATTTGTCTAATTTGTAAACACTCGTCGTTATATATAACTCATTATAATGATGATGATGATGATGATGTTTAATTTGATAAAATAAATTGTTATTAATAAATGTTTATTGATTACAAGTTTGAGGGATAATTATCGATATTCTATTCTATTTTTGAATCTTCAATGATAAAAAAATGAATTGAATTGAGTTTTTTTCTGTTTTTTTGTTTGTTTGTTTTAGGTCTTGTTGCCGGTCGTATTCGATAATGTTCGAACCAACAAATCACCAGTTTCATTCATCATCATCATCTGATATTGATAATAGTCAAATACAATTGGATATTCCTTTAAATCATCATCATTATGATGATAATAATAATCACCAACAGCAACAACAACAACAACAACAATCATCAATGACATCAGAAACAATGTTGACATCTAATCATCTCGATGGTGATAATAATAATGGTTGTGGTAATGAAAATGATGATGATGATGATCAATTTTATAATGATCTTTTAACTATTGAATCATTGTTACCATGTTCATCATCATCATCATCATCATCGACATCGACTACGACATTATCATCAAATCATATAAATATCAAAACCACAACAAAATTACAATCTGATAAAAATTCTGTGGAAAATGTAAAAACATTCGAAACAAACAATCAAACAAATTCACAAATGTCTAATAATAATTTAATAATTAGTTCTTGTGAAAAACAACAGCAACAACAACAACAACAATCACATATTAATGATAACTCAAATGTGATCACTACTGACAACGACGACGACGATGATGCTTTTTTCTCATCATTTGATAATTATGTTGTCGATGATGATAATAATGGATCTTGCAATAATAAACAGAATGATATTTTTTCCATATCAACAACAACAAATAACAACAATCAAAAATCATCAAAATCATCTGAAACATTCATCATGATTGAACAAAAAACCAATGATGATAATCAACAAATACGTCGACCAGATGATGATGATGATGAATCTTTTCAACCAAAAACAAAAATAATGAAATCTTCATCGACAATAGAAGAAGAATCATCATTAATGATTATTGATTCGATTGATATGAATGTTTCAAATAATAATGAAAAAAATATGGATAAAGATTCAAATATAGAATCATCAACATTATTATCCGAACAATCATTTGATTATATGTTAATGGATTATGATTGTATTGATAATAATAATAATAATAATAATGGTACAAGTAATGATACTGTAAACAATACAAATTCAAATGATATGATTGATGATGATAATTCGACTGTTGATTTTCTTAAAAATCTTGAAGTATCAGATGATGATACGGATACAAAAAATGTTGTCGATCAATTGTTTATGACGACAAATTTGACGACAACAGAAACTTCAGTACAACAGAATCAAAATGTTTCGAAACAAAATGAAATAGATATTAAACAAGAATCTTCAATATCAGCTACAACGAACAAAGTCAACGTCGAACAATCTAATAAGGATTCAACGCCAATTTCTGAAATCCAACCAAACATATCATCATCGCCTATGACTATCAACAAAACTTCAGACAATCAAAAAGAACAGCAACAAATCAATTCATCAACATTATCGTCTACGACGACCACGACAACAACAACTACATCGATAATATCATCATCATCATCATCATCAACTGTATCAGCAACACAAACATCGATATATTTATCACAAGATCAAGATGAAATGCCTCGACATACAATATGTCCATTGTGTGAAAATACACGTTCATTTTGTTCAAGTTCATCGGTTACAAGACATATACGTTCTGTACATAAATTAACCGATTTAACTGAAGCAAAATATTGTTATTGTTTATTTTGTCAACAATTTCAAGAGGATATACATTCATATTATCGTCATCTTGAACATGGACATCAATTTGATTTGGATAGAAATTTTTCATTATTATTTACAAAAAAAATTTTTACATCAATCGAAGGTAAGGTTTTTTTTGCCCAAAGATTTCCAATGTTTTTAATCTTTAATCTTTGATTCGATTCGATTTGAATAGAATTTCAACAATGGAAAGATCAAGAATTAGAACCACAAACTGGTTGTCGTTATGAACGATGTTTTAGTTATGATTTTCCTCGAAGTATTTATTATAAATGTTCCGGTATACAATTACAAACACCGATACAAACTGAAACTGATGATCATACAAAACAACAACAACAGTCGATTATATTGAAATATAATCAGAATCCTCAATCTTCAATTAATCAACAACAACAACAGGGTACCATTTCAACATCTGGTTCACAAACAATGACCAAAATAGAAATGGCTGATTTATCGAAAATATTTTCCAGTCAACAACAACAACAACAAACATCTTTATCAACATCATCATCATCATCATCATCAAATCTAGATAATTCAGATAATTCACAAAGTTCATCGACAGGAACTTTGGCGAATGTACAAGGAATAAATGTCAGAATTGAAAATCAATATGATTCACGTATGTATCCATGCCCTTCATCGGTTCGTTTAATATTCAAAAAAAATCATATACAGGTAAGTTTTGCTTTTGGCTTATTTTGTGTGTCGATAATTTTTTTGTTTTGTTTTTGTTATCCAGGTAAATTACATTCCATTTCATTTGGGACATGTATTAACTTCGAATAATACACCGCCATCATCATCATCATCATCTCAACCGTCAAATGTGCAACAACAAGTGTCCAACAATCAACAACGAGCTTCAACAACATCGGTTTCGACAAAAATGCCAAAAAAACAGAATCAATCGATTCAAACACCAGTGCAAGTACAAATACAACAACAACAACCACAACCACAACCACAAACAACAACAACAAAATGTCATCAACCGTTACAAACAAATTTTATTTCAATGTCCAAAAATAAAAATAGTAATAATAATTCTCATCAACATCATCAAGTGGTAGCCATTGCTACCGGGCCAAACAATGGACAACAACAACAACAAACAGCTATACAGATTAGTCCACAACAATTAGCCGGATTAGCATCATCGGGTAATATTCAATTGGCAACAACAACCGGTATAGGAGGATCAAAACTTATTCATTTACCATTTCTTAATTTGGCAACTGTTGGTGGTGGTAATATTGTTCTAACGACAGCTAATTCAAATCAACAACATTCAGCGAATCCGATTCAGTTAAAGCAACAACAACAACAACAATCACCATCAGCAAAATCGACTGCTCATTCATTTCAGGTACAAATTTCAGGTGGTTCATTAGGATCGGCTAAAATATTAACTTCACCGAAAAATCGATTGATGCAAGCAATACCAATAGAAAAAACATCGACAACATTTAAAACCAATGTAGATGTATCGACACAAAGTGATACTTTACCTTCATCAGCAATGTTAAATCAATTGAATTTTCAACAATTAATCAATAATCAATCAAATCATCAACAGAAAATAAAATCACAGCAAATACAATTGATTTCGACTATTCCGACAACTAAGGCATTACAAATACAGCAACAACAATTAAATGGTACGGCCAAAACCACATATCAACCAGTTCAACAATCATATCAGCTAGCAGATTCGTCATCAATATCAACGCCAACATCCGCATCCACATCGATCAATTCTTCACCAATGATGATGAAATTGACAAATGATACACAGGCACCAACATCATCGACTTTAAATTCCACAGTTCAACAACAACAACAACAACAAAGCAATGGATTAGTAATTGTATCATTGGAAAAAGGTTTGGAAACAGTACAAGAACAATCACGGCCACGAAAAAAACAACTTTATCAAATATTTGAACAAATTCTTGAATCATGTTTTACTGAATCAGATTTTGATCTTTTAGAATCATCATTAACATCGATTGCTACACATTTTCAATTGACAAATAATACGATGAACAATAATATACCATGATGATCATCAACGTCAACGTCAGAAACAAATCATCATTCGATCTTCTAGTCCATTCTAATCCATCAAGTATACATTGTCCAAACAAACAAAATTATCTTACATTTTATTTTCCCCATTCAAACTTCTTTGATCATTGAATAATCACAGAGATAACATCCATGTATTTGATTCAACTTTTTTTTGATTAATTCATATCCATTTTATAAAAATTGATAATGACGATCGCAAATGCCTAATGACGATCCCAAATCCGCAAAATTTTTTTCCGAAAATTTTTTTTTTTTTTTTTTTTTTTTTGTTTCATTTTATTTCGATTATCTTTTTCTATTCTTTTTTTTCGATGTTTATTCCATCATTTGATCATTCCGGTTTTTTGTTTCCATTTTTTTTTGTTGTTTTTTGATTTGTCAATAATAAAAATTACATTTTGTTTTCTTTTTGAATTTTCGAATCATTGTTGATCGATGATGAAGTACACTATCGAAACAATCGATTATTGATAGCTATGAATTGCAATATTTCAACAATAAATATAATAAACGATAATGATATCATTAAAAGATAAAAATAGAAAATACTGTACAAATGACGACTAACAGAAATGGAAACAATTTGAAATGTTAGATCGATCATCATCATTATTTTATTATTATGATGATGATGATGATCATGATGAGGATTATCGTCGTTTATTATCGATGAATGAACGTAACGATTGAATGATTTTCGTATTTGTGAATATTCGATATTTTTCCAATTGGTTATTATGCCCGATGAAACTAGTATCGAAACACTGGATAAAAAAAACAAATGAAAAAGAAAATCAAAAATAAAAATAATGAATAAAATCCAATAAAATATGAATGGACCATTACAATTTTCCAAATGTTTTCCGAAATGGAAATGATTTACGAACTGGTATGGCTGTTATTATCGAATAAAATGATGATCCAATTGTATCTGGTGCAATATGTAATAATCGATTATCTTTATGATGATGATGATGATGATGATCATTTAACAATATTGATACAATATGTAGATATTGTGCTGGAAGAATAAAACCAAAATTATTATTATTTTGATTTTGATTTTGATTTGTTTCTAATTTATTTTCCATACGATAATAAAGTGATCGTAAACATTTTAATGCAGTTTCACGATCTGGTATTAATCTTGATTGTTGATATATTATTTGAAATGATTGAATATTTGATTGACTAAGTGTTGTTATGACAGCTGAATTTTTTATCAATATAGGTAATATTTGACCCATACTACATGCATGAGCAAATTCATCGATTGTAATGATTCCGGTTCGTTCGGATGGTAGTGTCATTAATGAATGTAATTGACCAATATATACATTATTAATAACAATACTGGATAATGTCCAAATGATTGAACAAATTTTTATTGATGTATTGATTTTATTCAAACGATAATATGTAACTTTGAACAATAAACTCAGATTGATCCATATTAGATAATCATTTTTATTGTTGAATTTTTTTCGTTTAAAAAGTTTTAAATGAAATTGATCAAATAATCCAAATAAAACGAACATTGATAATAATATCATCCAAACTTCAAACATAAATGGTTTCCATAATAAATCAAAATTATATGTTTGATGTAATCCTAATCGATTATCCAGATCGGTAATTGCAAATGTAAGACGATCTTGATCATGTGATTCAAGAAAATCCACTACATCGATACGATTTTTTGTTTGACTTATACCACCAATTGCCATATCAATTTTATTATTAACAATCATTCCGATTAATCCGGACCAAGAACCATTTGTTTGTTTATTACCATAACGTTCATTTGTTATAAACCATTCGATTTTAAAACCATAATTTTGTTGCATCAGATTGATTATTTTTGATTCGATTCCATCAACATTGTAATAATCAGTTTGATTAGATTTTAACCAGACAAATGGTGGATTCTATCTTTTGAATAAAATCAAGACTAATCGATAGATTAAATGGGGGGGAAAAAACTTACATTAAAAAATCCAATTCTAATAATTTGATTTGAAATGTTCAATGTTTTCATTTTATTCAATTTTTTTTCAAAATATTTATGATATAAAGTTGAAGGTAGAAAAGTAAATGAATAGATATTATTTGAAATGAACAGAACGAAAAAATATTATCGATTCGAATTATTTTGATTATAATTCAAATTAAGCAATGTAGGAAAAAAATAGATTCATATATCAAAATTTTCTCTCTTTTTTTTCATCGTCATATCCTGTTTATGATAATGAAATATTGATCAAGTAACTGGTTGGAGATGAGAAAAAAAAATTCAAATATTCCTTAGTTGTGTCGAAACACGTTGTATTGAACAAAAGCCAGAAAAGATCGATAATATTTTTGTTATTTGTGTTTTCTATTCGTTATATTAGATGAAAGATTTGTAGCAATGAATTCACTGGCCATCGAAATAATTCTGTAATACAATCAATAATTTTTATTAAATAATAAAAAAAATCGATAATTTATGAAAATAAAACTTACTCAACATTCTTTTCGGATAATTTCATAAAACCTTGTTGATAGTTTTGAAGAATATCTAATAATCGTTGTTGTAATCGTTTTAAATAAACAAAACGAATTCGATTTGATTCATTTTGGCTTTGATCAGGTTTATTCACTAACAATGGTCGTGATCGTTTAAAAAATTCGGCAAAACAATCGATTATGAAATCATTTTTCGATGAAAAAGATTGTTGATTTTGATAATATGCAATACATATTTGTAAAAGATGATCATACATACGTAACATAAATGGAACCTGAACAAAATTATATTCAAATAATTTGTTCAAAAATTTCAACTTATTTTCAAATGTATCATTATCATTGATGCCATCATAAAAACGATACAATTGTTCTAAATGTTTTTCAATATCATCACTAGCTGTTGGATCATCAAATGATTGTGATATAAATTCCGATACTTTAGTTTCAATATTCGAAACATTCAAATCATCTAATAAAATATCGATAAAATTTTTTTGATCTGTATTTTTGGAATTTTTTTCCACTTTTAATTCTTCAAGTTGATTCATAATATCATCATCCGAATTATTTAATTTTTTACCGGTGGTCAAACTTGATGATAATAAAACCAAATCAACAGGTTGACCATTTTCATCGAAAATTTCCATGGGCTTTTTTGGACGATAATTCGGTTTGGAATTGATGGATGATTGAACTGTTGTTATCGGATCAATTGATGGCTTATCATTGGCAATACTTGATACCGATTCATTATCGTCTCCTGCATTCTGATTAGAGAATTGTGAACAAGATCCGGGTGTAGTTTGAAGTTGCCAATCATCACAAGGAATCGTTTTCGAAATTGTTGATGAACTAATGTTAAATGGATTGGCCAAAGCATTTAAGCTTTTTGGTTCACTTTTCGATTCACTAAGAGTTTCGGTGCAACAATCCAAAAGTGGACTATCATTGTTTTCTGTTGGTTGTGGTGATTCAACAACATCAATTGTTGCAGATTGTTGTCCACATCGATTAAGAGCAAGTTCAACAATGATACGTGATTTTTCCAAATATTGTCGAAGATCTACCAATATACGAATCAATCCATCATTAGTGATTAGTTCCATATTTTGTCCAAAATATTCACGAACAAACAAATCGAAACGATTTTGTAATTGTTGAATATATTCATTGTGTGTACGTAAATTTTCAATTGATAATTGTGAAAGAAGCTTAATATCTTGTGTTTGGCCATAAATATCAAAATATAATTGCCAATATGTTTTATTCAATGTATTATATAACAATAATGATGATGATTGCATCTTCTTTTGGGATTTTACAAATTATTATAAAAATAAATTACAAAAATAAATTTAAAAAAAAATTCTCAATTCTAATTACAATTACAATGATGAAATATCGAAAAACAAAACATTGAATGCTCAACAACAACAAAAAAAAACACAATAACAATAAGTGAGAGAGAGAGGAAAGACTTTATGAAATTCGATTATTCGAAACAATCGATTGTGTTAATCTCGATTGTTTCGTTCATCATTTATTTCTGTCAAATCAAATTATTTTCAAAATTATTTTTGAATTGAATTATTTTCAAAAGAAAATTACAAAAAAATAAATCGAATAATAAATCGGAAACAATTCTTTTTCTGTTTAATAAATAAAGTATTTGGTGTAAGGAAAATTTACAAATTCAAATTGTGATTGTAAATTGATTGTGTTTTGTATTTGTATTTGTTTTGTTTTTGTTGTTATTATTCTGCTCATAGAAGAAAAAAAAAGAATGGAATTTCTTGAAACATTAGGTTATATAATGATTGTAATCGTATTATATAAATTATTTGGATTTACAATCAATTTATTATTATCACAATATGGACGAACAATTGGTTTAGGTGTTAAATATATATCAAGTAATGGTGAATTTGCTGTTATATCTGGTGCAACCGGTATTTTGGGTCGTGAATTTGCACAAGAATTTGCATCGATGGGTTATAATTTAGTATTGATAGCAAAAAATGGACAAAAACTTGATAANATCTTGTGTTTGGCCATAAATATCAAAATATAATTGCCAATATGTTTTATTCAATGTATTATATAACAATAATGATGATGATTGCATCTTCTATTTTTTACAAATTATTACAAAAATAAAGTTTTACAAAAATAAATTCAAAAAAATTCTCAATTCTAATTACAATTACAATTTCGAAAACAAAACATTGAATGCTCAACAACAAAAAAATACACAATAACAATAAAAGAGAGAGGAAAGACTTTATGAAATTCGATTCGATTATTCGAAACAATCGATTGTGTTGATCTCGATTGTTTCGTTCATCATTTATTTCTGTCAAATCAAATTATTTTTGAATTGAATTATTTTCAACTGAAATTACAAAAAATAAATCGAATAATAAATCGAAAACAATTCTTTTTCTGTTTAATAAATAAAGTATTTGGTGTAGGAAAAATTTACAAATTCAAATTGTGATTGTAAATTGATTGTGTTTTTTTGTTTTTTGTTTTTGTTTTGTTATTGCTCATAGAAGAAAAGAAAGAATGGAATTTCTTGAAACATTAGGTTATATTATGATTGTAATCGTATTATTTAAATTATTTGGATTTACAATCAATTTATTATTATCACAATATGGACGAACAATTGGTTTAGGTGTTAAATATATATCAAGTAATGGTGAATTTGCTGTTATATCTGGTGCAACCGGTATTTTGGGACGTGAATTTGCACAAGAATTTGCATCGATGGGTTATAATTTAGTATTGATAGCAAAAAATGGACAAAAACTTGATAATTTAGAACAACGTATACGAAGAAAATATAATACAATGAAACATATTATAAAGATACCTGTAGATTTAACAATACCTGAATCATATGCAACATTAAGACAACAATTAGCCGATGTAAATCAAATTGTTGTTTTGGTAAATTGTATATCATGTTGTCCTGAACCGGCAAAATTTTGGAAATCTTCCGAATCAAAATTTAATCTACTTATGATTAATGTAATGGCACCATTAATATTAATGGAAGAATTGATGCCACGTTTTATTCAACAAAATAGAGGTATTATAATAAATGTTGGTGCACAAGCTGGTGATTTTCGTTTTCCAAAATATTCAACATATGCTGCTTGTAAGTTATTTCTTATTATTATTATCAATGAATGAGTTATCATTATTTGAAAAAAAAATCTCAATTAGGCAAATCATTTATACATACAATGTCCGAAATAATGGCTGCTGAATGTACACATACAAATATTTATGTACAAACAATAAAACCATGTTCAATAGCACATAAATCAAAAGCAACAGAAGAATCATTTTTTTGTATACCATCACGTTTAATTGCATATTCAGCATTATTATCAGCTGGTTTTGAAACAAGTCATTATGGTCATTGGAAACATCGTTTAAGTGGCCTATTGCTGAATATAATGGTATTTTTATTTGGACATCGTTGGACAACATTTATAATTGGTTTATTTATACCAACCGTTAAAAAAGGTAAAGATGATTTTGATCAAAAAAATTTAACACGATCATCATCATCATCAGCATCGATGAAAAAATTGCCAAAATATCCAACACCATCACCATTAACACCATCACCATCATCAACATCACCATTAACATCATTGGATAATAAAATTGATCATGGTGGTGGTGGTGGTGGCGTCGGTGGTGTTGGTAGTAGCCTAAATAGTAGTGAAGAATCAACAGATATTATGATTGATTTTAATCAGGGTAAAAAAACTGATAAAAGATATGCACCAACACCATCACCATTAGTTAATGTATCGGATATGAATGAAACTGAAGTTGTATTTAAATTAACACCACCATCACAAATATTAAAAAATAAAAATGAAAAAAATGATAAAAAATCAATACCACCGCAAGCAAAAATTTCATTAAAAAAATCCGAAATTATAGTGATCGATAAACCGGCAACGGTTATTAATGATAATCAGATTAATAATCAAAATAATCAATTAAAAATTGCAAATCTATCAACAAGATCATGTAAAACACCGGATTTTATTGATTATAATGATAATTTAAATATGACAAAAAAAGAAACAACAATAACAACAACAACAACAACAACAAATATACAAGATCCAATAATTAAACAAGTAAGATTAGATGATGATTCCAAAAAACAAAATAAAAATGATAATAATAAAATTAATGTTGTAAAAAAAATGATTGATGAAAATCCACCACCACCACCGGTTATTAAACCAAAAATTGTTAGCCTTGTATCGAAAAGTACTGGTTTAGAATCAAAATCATCATTAGTGGATAATAATAATAATGATAAAAATCCACCACCACCACCACCACCACCACCGGTTATTAAACCAAAAATTATTAGTCTTGTATCGAAAAGTACTGGTTTGGAATCCAAATCATCATTAGCGGATAATAATGATTTGAATATACCAACGATCAAACCAAAACAAATGTTGATCAGTAAGACGAACAATAACAACATTAGCAAAAGCAAGACGACCAACATCAGCAAAAGCAAAACGAACAACATCAGCAAAAGCAAGAAGGAAAAAAGCAAAACGACCAACATCAGCAAGAGCAAGACGAACAACAAGGACAAGGACAACAACCAAATAAAAATCGATAAAGATAATATTGATTTTATAAAGAAAATTGAATTTGAAACACCACAAACATTAAAATTTGAAATGACAAAAAGTATTCCAGATTTAAAAAAGAAAAGTATGAGAAAAGGATAAAACAACAAACAGCCACCACCATTACTAAAAAAAACAAAATTAAAATCTTTTATTTTTTCAAAAAAATTTTCATTTGATAAATTTAGCCAAATTTTCAATCATATAAACAATCATTGAATCAAGACCGGTAGTATAACCTTCATTAGTTAGTACTGCACCGACAAATTCGGATTGTGGTTGTATCATTAATACAGTTGATGTACCCATTAAACCACCATTATGCCAAATATAATCTTTATATGTAAGATTTGCATTTGCTAAACTAGTTAAATTTGATATCATCCAACCATAACCATAATGTTGTTGATTACCATTTGTATGTAGCATTTTATCCAAATTTTTACTATGTGATGACCAAATTTTTTTCATTGTTTCTGATTTCAATATTGTAGAATTATGACGACCATTGAATGCATCCAACATTAGTTGTCCCCATTTTAATAGATCACCAACAGTAGATTGAATACCACCAGCAGCATAATAACCTTCATATATAAGTGAATCATCAAATACAGCCGTAGGTATTAGACGATGATCAATTAAATTCGTAACATCCATACGACGATAATAACGTGCACGATTCGATAGAATTAAATCTTCTGTTTCAATAAAACTATTCAGTAAACCATTTTGATGAAGAAATTTATTCATTATTTCTGAATATGTTTTATTTTCCATTGTTTCAATAACCGAACCTAATAATTCAAAACCATAATTTGAATATAACCAATCGGTTCCTGGTTCAAATTCTAATGGATCATTTGCAAATTTTTTAACAATCGTAGATTGTGAATGAATATTTTTTACGATATTATCCATATCAGTTAGTTTTGTTAAACGTAAACCAGATGTATGTGATAATAATTGCCCAATTGTAATGTTTACTAGTTGATTTTGCCATTTTTTCTGTGGAAAATATTCCAAAATATCATTAACTGGAGTTTCATAATTTAAACGACCTTGATCAATTAATCTACCGATTAAGGCGGATGTAAATGTTTTTGATATTGAACATATACGATAATGTGAATTCATATCGGTTTTGGTTCGAGGATTTTCTATATCCAATACACCCCATGAATGATTATAAATTAATTGGCCACGATGTGCTAAACCAAATATCAATGATGGTAGACCTAGTTTTTGTATTGTTTGTTCAATAAATTGATGACCATCATTGATAGCATCGGTGATTGTTGTAAAATTTTTACCAAATATATTTCGTTCAACCGATGATGATAGTGATAATGGTGAAGGTGGTGAAAATCCCTTTGGTTCATTTGGAAATGTTGAAACATTGATCACAGCAATCAATAATAACAATAACCAAAAGGCATGACGATGATAAAAAGGCGGATCGATCATTTTTTTGTCGAAGTTTCTTGTAGAAAATCCGATTAAAAGAAAGAAAATTGGAAATTTTTAAAAAGTTACAAGTTTTTTAAAATTTGTAAATTAAAAACAAAATTGATGATGTGTAAGGCGATTTGGCCAAAACAAAGAAAAAATTCCAATCAATTTTTGATTACTTATCATAACACGATATCATTGCTATTGGCAATGATCAAAAATCAATTGATTTTTGATCGATAACTTTGTTGAGGATTGCTCGATCAACAATCATTGATTATTATATTAATGTTAATTAATT